AAACCTGTCTGCATGCTGCTCTGGCTGTCTTTCTGAATTAAGAGCACTCTCACTCTCGATTGAGCACACAATATTCTCCGGCTAGCTCTGTTACTCTCATCTTCTCTGTGTGTGTTATGCACTCCTTACCCTCCCCCGACCTTCTCCCATCATCACCTCCTGGCCTTTCTTCTCCTTCTCTCCCTCTAGTTCCCCATCCCTTCCTCTCTAATGTCTTGTATCCTGAGCTCAGCTCTCTCTGAATCAGCAGAGGTTCTCAAGCAGGTCAGCAAAGCGAGGCATTACAATTACTGCCTACATCAGCCTCAAAACACACGCGGATTTATTACTGTACTCGCATGACGCTAATGTTGGGGAATCGGTGGAATTGAATTAGCCCCCGTTTCTTTCATGGCTTTCCAGAAGATGTGGCGTGGGGTGTAATTAGCGAGGCAGCATCAGGGAGGCACGCCGGCATCTGGCCGTTGCCTCGGCTCCAATCGTGTCGCTGTCAGTCTAGACCTGCTTTGGAGAGAGTGATCAACTGCACAGCCTGGTGGCAGTGCTGCTGGGAAGAAAAGGAGAGAGAGCTGGGGAGTAACAGTGCTGGAGGGCCAGCTCTCTCTCTGATTACTGAGCTTATTACTGCGAGGAACTAGACTTGCTTATAAGCCGTGTATCCTACAATAGAGATGCATTTTTCTTTCTCTCCTGTTCTGCTCTGTCTCTCTGCTTAATGTTAAGTGTTGCTCTGATACTGATTGCTGCTGATGATTTTTTTTATGTTACACTGGACAGACGATAAATGGATGATTTCATATTATAACAGATTAAAATAGATTAAAAAACAACCTTTATGATAGAAATAAATGCATAAATTGGCCTCAGATTTGAACACTTGAGTCGCATTTAATGTTGTTTCATTGGTTACAAAATATCAAATTAAGTAACATCTGCAAACTTTTTTATTTTCTTAAATACTGAATGTATTGACCACAGTAACCACAGCTCATCACATTAACTACATTGATTAAATGTGTGTTAATTTTGAACAATAATGTCTAAATTTCAAAAACATATTTTTTGCTTAAGATCATTTCTTTAAAACACATGCTTATCGGTTTGATATTAGGTAATATAATGATATAAAGAGTCATTTACAGCTGTATATTAAAATAAAATGCTATAAATAATATTTTATTAATATTATAAATAAAACAGTCTATGAAAAAGCTCATTATTACACCCAATGAATTTTAATCATAAGGTGGGTATTATACAAGAGAGTTTTGTGTATGTGGTCTGAAAAAGAGTTGGGTAAACATGCTGATTTAGGTATAAATAACATGCACGAAAGAAGTCTCTTATGCTCACCAAGGCAGCATGTATTTGATTAAAATACAGGTAAAATAGTAATATTGTTAAATATTATTACAATTTAAAACAAGTTATATTTTAATATATTTTAAAAAAGTAATATAATTTTAAATTAATTCAATAAATATGTGTTTTTATTATAACCATTAAAATATGCTGCTTAATATTTTTTTGAGAAAATCAATGTGGAGATACATACCGTATTGTCCCGAATATAAGACGATATTTTTTTCTTGGAAATACATCTGAAAAAATGCGGTCGTCTTATATTCAGGGTCTAGACTTTGACATGTCAATAATACACCCACAACACTAGGTGGCGCCAAATACGCATAAAACGAGTGTGCCATGAAATAGCCTATACAATGTAATGCGTGTTGTAAAGATCGCGAGTAAAAACAAAAGAAGCAGAAAACCTTACAGCTGCATGAGTCGTGACTGTCACGTTAGCCTGATGGGACCAAACTCCCTTTGTGATTTTAAAACGTAAGACAGTACCCAGATTTGAAGACTACAGTAAGATTTAACTTCTACTGTTAATAAGATTTTGGTAGGCTACTATTAGATGGATAGCCTAAATGTCCTAATTCAGATGGGCTACCTGTTTTTATTTTTAATGGTGTATCAAAAAGTGTATATTTTTTAAATGTGACTGTTGGTACATTTTACCAGTTTTTACCATACTTTCAAAACAAAAATTAAAATAGGAAAAATATGCAATATGAAAATAATTGAAAACAAAATGTGTTTTACTGAGAAAAAACAAGATTTGGTTTTTAAAAAGCCTTTTTCCAAAAGGTACATCTGGAAAAAGGGGGGGTCGTCTTATAATCAGGGTCGTCTTATATTCGGGACAATACGGTACTTGAACTTGAGCAGCTGTAAGTGAGAAGGAGCAGGGTAAAAGTACAGGTGCACCTGAGGTCACCGTCAACAAAATAGCCCCTTCCAAGAATACTTGGAGATGGAAACGAGCACATGGCTGTCTGGCCAAAAAGCAGCATCCACTATGACCTTCACTCTAAGCAGAACTTAGGATAACAGGCCACAAAAAAATAAGCCAGCACCCCTCATGCCCTGGACCAATAGAAAAACACATGCAACCACTGAACTTCATCTTTAGTTAGACCGATCTTTCTGTACTTCCCGGTCTTTACTACTTGTCATTGGCACAAGAATACCACATACTGTACAATATCCCTCAGCAGCTTTATTATACGATTAAACAGTGGTTTACTGAACAAATTGCTCTTTCTTTAAATAAATTCAATTTTAACTAAAATGTACTTAGGGATAAAAATCTCTATAATAAATCTCTATAGGGAGCCCTTTTACATTACTATAAGGTTACAATTAACAAGAGCCAAACAGAGCCCAAATTTAAATTACTATTTATTTTTAAATATAATACAACACCTAGCTTTAAAAATGCAAACATGTACAGTGGGAAAAAATATTAATTTGATCCCCTGCTGATTTTGTAAGTTTGCCCACTTACAAAGAAATGAAGGGTCTGTAATTTTTATGGTAGGTTTATTTTAACGGATAGACACAGAATATCAACCAAAAAATCCAGAAAAAACAATATATAAAGGTTAGAAATTGATTTGCATTTCAGTGAGTGAAATAAGTATTTTATCCCCTACCAACCAGCAAGAATTCTGGCTCACACAGATTGGTTATGTGCCCATGTGGAACACAGATTAGTCTTGCCACTTTAAGAAGTTATTCCTAATGTAAGCTCGTTAGGTGTATAAGACATCTGTCCACACAATCTGCATCTTCCATTCCAACCTCTCCCACCACCATGGGCAAGACCAAAGAGCTGTCAAAGGATGTCAGAGACAAGATTGTAGATCTGCACAAGGCTTGAATGGGCTACAAGACTATCAGCAAGAAGCTTGGTGAGGAGACGACAACTGTTGGTGCAATTATTCGGAAATGGAAGAAATACAAAACAACCATCAATCGGCCTTGGTCTGGAGCTGTGCAAGATCTTGCCTCATGGGGTAAGGATGATCATGAGAAAGGTGAGGTACCAGCTCCGAACTACACGGCAGGAGCTTGTTAATGATCTTAAAGGGGTCATGTGATGCGATTTCAAGTTTTCCTTTCTCTTTGGAGTGGAACATCAGTTCCCCTGTTTCCCCTTCGGCATGCATGCTGACTGTGGACACTGATGACTTGCCTGAGGTAAATGAAATGCTACATGACATTTTATTTCCACGCTGTTTTATTTACGTCTTTCCGCGGTTGAACACTGATTGAATGATAACATGAGGCATGAAATATTCATTCATTTTTATTTCATTCATTTTTTTCATCTCTTCTATCAAAATAATCATTGATAAAAAATAAAAAAAATTCAATTTTTTTTTTTGGCATATATGGTTCTATGAATCTGTAACATCCACAGAACCTTTCCGTTGCATAAAAGGCTCTTTTCAGTGGAAAAGATTCTTCAGATTATTAAAAAGTTTTTCACACTAAGAAAAAAAGTGGTTCTTTTAAGAACTGTTCACTAAAAGGTTTTTGGGGAACCCAAAAACAGTTATTCTATTGCACTGCTGGCGAAAACCCCAATTTGGAACCTTTATATTTAAGAGTGTATTGTGTAAGGCCAGCCAAAACTGAAGCTTGTCGTTTTGACCAAGCCCTAGCCACTTCTGCATGCAATTTGCATCAGACGGTCAATGGGGTGTTCCGTCTGAAGCAGAAACAACTGTGATGTCAGCTAAGAACCGCTTCTGAAGTTTAAAAAGTTGCTGATGCTTCGATAAACACAACATGTTTTTAAAGAAACTAAAACACACAACAGCTGTTGATCATCACAGGCCATCAGTTCTGAAACCAAATTTCAATTGAACCTTGAAAGTTCAAGGGAATCAGATGAACTCCAGCAAGAACTTCTTCAAGCAGCTGAGAATATAAATGTATCCGCCAGCAAAAAGTGATGAGACGAAAAAACCCAAATGCTGCATAAGCAGGTTGAAGCAGAGGGCTAAAATTGGGCCCATTCACTGGAGGGCTCAACTTTTGCCAATCGTTGGCAGCTGACCAGCCAGAAAACAGGAGTGCAGCTAAAGAACAGCTACACAAACTTTAGTTTATCACGCCTGACTTTTTCCTTCTGAGCGATACTTTCTTTCAGCGCTGCAAACCAGGGGTTGTCGGCAACACAAGCTGTAGCTCCCAAATTCTCTTCTTAATGGCAGATCTTCCCCTGTTAATAAAGGAATAATGAGGAAGTCTGTATGGTGTTCGGTCCCCTGTGGAAGAGAAGCTCTCAGCACTCACAGTAAACACATTCTGTTCAGACTAGAGCTGATCAGTTTGATGTCTGACTCCATGCAGATGGTTCCATTCTTAAACAATGCAGGCCAGCGTGGTTAATTGCTACTGAGACGACCGGAGGTGCGATTACGTGAGCATTTCTGCTGCAGGTGAGTGTGTGTTTTTGTGTGACAGGACTGACTGACGAGCGAGCGAGTGAGCGCCCTTGACTCGCGGCAGGCGAATAATGCCTATAAGGGCTGGGGGAGGTTCGTTATCAGACATATCCCCCCACCCCATGCACACATATTCACGCACACACTCGTGCGCACACTTACACACACTCTGTGAGGACAGTGTAGCAGTCTTACCCCTTCCCGAAGGCACCTCATTAACACGGTGTAGGCGGCAGCAGGAACGACCCACAATCCTCCTGGGCGCTCTTTCTTCTCTTCCTGCAGGGGAAGGAAAGAGAGTATGTGTGTGTGTGTGTGTGTGTGTGTGAGAGAGAGAGAGTGAGCGAGAAAGAGAGAACTATTACCGAGACTCATTGGGGGAACAATTAAAAGCAGCAGAATGCAGCCACCATCATAATGAGGCTAAATAAATAAAGTCCTGTGACGGTAAATAAGACAACAGGCTCGCTGGCTCAGGCAGGTACAGGAAACACAGCGTAAATTATAAGCAATGATCGTGTCAATTAGAGGAAAAAGCGGGGAACGCTGCGAAGCAGCATCCTCCTCTCATTTAACTTCTAATACTTGCGTTCAGCACAGCGCTGAGACTGATCGTCAACATCAACAGCAGATTGTGAGCGAGACCTTCGTACAAGTCAAGGTCTGATTTGGATTTCTGTTTATATGTAGCTGCATTTTGCAACAGCCTACTGGGTGTTATAAATTCAAAATGATTTTTTTTAACAAAAAAAAAGTTTTTTTTGGTTAACTGATGATTACTTTTAATAAAGGTAGAAATTTTATTATGACAAATTGGCCTTGAAAATCCTCTAAGTAAAAAAATAAAATACATGTGCAATCAGTTTTAAAATTCAAAACAGTGATTGTAATTTATTAATGCATCACTATCACAAATTAACTGAAAGTTCATATTAATAATTACAATGGAGCAAAATGTCTGCACAGTAAAATTAATATGAGCACGGAAGTAAAACTGTCAAAGAGTTTATGTATTTTAATTTTGTATCTTCAAGCTTGATTAATCTACTTTTTTTTAAGAATGATTTATAGTTTTGCATTTTAAACTATATTTATATAAAATTTATACATGAACTCAAAGCTACATTTGACCATACCTGGTATTTTGTTGCAGTTTATGCAATAAAGCATTTTATGGTCAATTGAGCAATTCTGAGGACTTCTGAGTTTAGGTTTTTTTTTTTTTTTTTCCCAGATTAGAAGCACCTCTTGCAATAAGCTGATACCCTTGAGTGAGTACCTCAGTGGGCAAACTGTTCTTACAGAGAACTTCCCAAACTTTTTCTAGGGCGATTAAAATTGATTATCATGGGATAGCATCTGAAAAAGGGGAAAACTCCACCCCCCAGTGGCTGATAAAACAATTTTGGAAGCAGGAATCATTCTGTGAAAACTAGCACCATCTTATTGGTTTCTCTTTGCTTGCTGTACACTATGTACAGGTTAATACAAAAATAATTAACCTTGACTTCTGATAAATCTGAAAAATGTATTTGTTTGTTTGTTTGATAATGATGTAAGCCAAACCCTTAAATGTATAATTTATGTTGCATTAGACAATAAAATATCTAATCATGTAGGGCTGTAAACACAGAAGTCACTGAGCTATGACAGTGATGGGCCCACCCACTTTCAACTGTGGCCCACCCAATAAGATAATTTTCCAAATGGATCTAATTTATTAAATAATAATAATAATAATAATAATATTAAACATATTATTTCACTATAATGTTTTATATTTACTTTAAAAATATATATTAAACACAAGGTCACATGGTCAATTACAGGCAGTTTCTTAATTGTCCCTCTTCCTATAGGTGTCTACGTTTGTCAAAATGATGATTTGTCAGTTTTTGTAATTCCCACCTACAATGTTATGTTTACGACGTAAGACATAATAGCAAAATGCGCGCGTTTGTGGAGTTGAATTTTGAAAATAGTCAAACAAAGATCAATCAGTCAGTTCTTTAAAAAGTATATATCCGGTATCCCAATTGAAACTAAGTCTTAGCAATGAATCCAGACCGTCTACAAATGAAACCAGACCAACCTGCATTAAACTTTAGAGCCAAGCATGTTTGAAGCATCATATTAGCATTGGTACAATGTCTGATCCGCTAAACAGATGTGTTCCTTTGTGGAAAGAAACACATAAACATTGTGATAGATACTGTTCTCCACAACAAACTACATATTTGTAGTCCGTATTTCTACGGTCCTCGATGTTTACTCTTCTGTGAACGTGAAAAGAGACTTGATTATCATCTGCGAAGCCCGTTGTCTCAGACTGAGATAATGCTTTACAATAAACTTATTTTAGTTAACATTAATACATTAACTAACATTAACAATGACCAATACATTTGTTACAATATTTATTCATCTTTGTTAAAAATACAACTGTTCATTGTTTTGTTAGCTCACGAATGTTAACAGATACAACTTTTAATTTTAATAATGTATTAGTAAATGTTGAAATTATCATTAATGTTAATCAGTGCTTTATAAGTACAGTATTGTGTATTAAACCTTTGTGCTGTATTTTCTGTTGGCAATTTAACATGCAGTTTTCATACGCTACACTTTATTAGGACCAGTTGGTTAACAGTAATTGCAAAAGTGGCTCAGAAAAAAAAAAAAAACGAGTTCAAAGAAAATAATCACTTGTTTGCATATAGCACTTGGTTTTTATTGTGGCTAATTTATCGTCAGTTTTTCACTATATTATTTATAGCTATGTACACTATACACTAACATTTCTGAAATGGAATACTGGAAACTGAGGGTGAACAATGTTAAAGAACAAATATACTATAGTTGTAGGGCTGGGCAATATGGCCAAAAAAATATCACTATAATTTTTTTTTTCACGTCAGTCCGTATCGATAATTATCACGATACATTTTTTATTTAATTTACACATTTTTATTTCTTTCAAGTTTAAAGGCAGATTTTTGCTCCAATGTGAAAGTTGTAAAAACCAGATGGTTAATTGTGGTTTTAAATTATTATTTATGGTCAGAACATGACAAACGCTTTGTTTTTGAATTCTTTATACTTTTCCAGTCATTTTTTCCTTAACTTAATAGAAAAAAATAATCATTTCTTAGTTCTGCATGTTCTAATTAATAATATTGTTTAAAATCTAGAAACAGGTTTGTGTTGCCTGATAATATTAATAATATTTTTTTCTTTTTTTGCTCTCTTAGAAATACACGTTTGATAGTAGCTTGAGTTTGGATGCAGAGGCTGGGCGATATGGCCAAAAAATGATCATGATAATGTCTGAGTTCTGCATGTTCTAATGAGTAGTTTCAAATCAAGAAACGGGTTTGTGTTGCCTGATAATATTAGTAATATAACATTGTCTCTTAGAAATACACATTTGATATTAGGATGCAGATGTAGATTTATGTTCATTATCAAAATCAGTTATATCTGTAAAAATTGTAGCAATCTCATTTTTATATGGTGACATTTAATTATTCTCACTGTTTTTTTTTTTTTACCATTGGTCTTCCATAGTAGCATACATTTAGATCATTACAATCACAGTTAAAACCACAAAGATAGCACATCAATACCATGGTAAAAATGTAATATGTAATATTAGTACAAACGCATAAACCCTATTGCTTAAATCACAAAAAAAAACTGTAATTATATTCCATTACTCCTCCTTCAATACATTTAATACGTCTACATTAATATAATAAAATTTGACACGAATAGCCACATTTCTGACACAATACCATATTGCAGTTAGTGGTACTACAGTAAATCTATGGTAAATGATGGCGATTTGTAGATTAAAAAGTATTCTGTAAGTATTAAAAACTGACTGTATCGTTGCACACGGTGTTTCTCCTGTGTCAGCGCTGTTTCATCTGGCTGTAAACAGAGATATTTGTGTTCTTCACTGAATGCAAGCGCTTCACACTCGATCTTACATCGCTGTTTAGTGTCGCGTGATCGAGACTCATCCGCGAGTAACGCATCTGCTCTAGTGAAGCTCACGCCGCGCCGCTGTTTGAACTTTGAGCAGAGCTGATAAACGCTCCGAGACACGCTTCAAATTACTAGCACTCTTTCGTTCCGCCTTTGCCTCATAAACATTATATTGAACATTTATCGAACTCTTGTTATCGTTTATCGAGAAAATTTATATCACGCGATAATTATCGTTATCGATTTATCGCCCAGCCCTATACAGTTGTGTTTTACTGAATGACAGAGTGAAGAACAATGAAAGCTAGTGTGTGTGTGCGCTTCCGTGGCTTATCTTGTATCACTCCCATTCATTATGTCGCAGAAAGCACAGCCACAGTTTTCCACCTGGACCGTTATTGACATTCATAGCGTCAACTCACCTATCGCTCGCATTACACTAGAACGGAGCAGTGGAGAAAAGTCATTAGATAAAGCCAATCAAGGACACAGCGTCCCTCACCCTCCCCCTGCGCTCAGAGCTAATGTGATCAATAAAAGCTGTGTGTGCTGTTGTACTGTGTGACCCTGAAAAACACATCCCTACAGGAGATACACACTTATATAAGCCCAACAAAACATGTTATCTGCTAACCTCGGGTCCCTTACAGCGATCGATACAGCGATCAGATTAGGGTGACCAGACGTCTACAACACAGGACAAATTTTGGTCAAAGGAGTCTAAAAAACAGGCCATCTCATCACACCGGTTGTAATGAGGTAAAATGGTGCTGTGATGAGCCATTTATGGACTCCAGAGGCTGTGCTTCATTACACCTTTGGACCTCATTCACAGGCTGCTGTACGATGTGCGATGCTGAAAATCCCTCAACAAAGTGTTGCAGTGTTACCGTGACAGACAGTAGATGTAACATGAGTAAATGCAAATAAAGAGTGTATGGTTTTTAGCAGTGATCTTTAGAGTACTAAAATTCTGTCAAAGGTTACACCAGACTGCATCGGTTATGAGGTGGTTCTCATGTTGAGGTTAATGAGGTCTGAGAGGTTGTGTGAATCTCTCCTCATAAGGGAGCTTTTTATATGTCACAGAATACTCCGAGGACAAATATTGCCTGTAAGACATTTATGAGAAGCAAATTGAGCTGTATGAAATTTCAGGCCATTGAACATACTGATCTGTTCTTGAGATCGCAATCCGGTGGCTAGTCCCCCTAGAAGCCAAAGTGGAACTTGTGCACTGATCAATAATTACGTCAATATAACAGACAGTCTGCTTTATTTTTACGCCA